AAGCTATAATAACCTCGTTACTTAATACTATTAATATTAAGAATAGAAGACCTTATTTACGCGACGGCTAACGTCTTTATAGATTATTTTAAAGCTTTTCTATATACTACGTTATCTACTAGTTTTAGAGATAACTAATTATAAAGATAAATAGAGGCGCTTAAAGCGAGCAGATAGTGTTAAAAGATTATCTTTTACGACGAGAGATACGTTCTAAAAATAACTAAATTTGGCTGCGAAATAGACGTATTTATATACTATTCTCCTATCGTAAAAGACGCGATTTCATAGATTTCTTCTCTAATAGCATACGCTCTCTTCGTTTAGAGATATTATCTTTAAACGAAGAAAGCGTAAAAGAAGACAATATTTATATATTCTAAGGGTTCTATACTTAACTCGATAGATATTATATATATATAGAATAAGAGTTAGATATCTATTAACTATTTAAATAAATTAGTTAAGTTCTAGAGTACTCGAAATTTTCGAAATATAACTTACGAGATATATACTTAATAGTTAATTCATATTCTTTACGCTATTTTATTTTATATTCTATTTATCTTAGTAGTAGTAGATTATATACTCTTTAGCGACTCTAGATTACTAACGAGGTTCTCTTTCGCTAGTTTAATTACCTAAGAATTCGATTTATTATTAAAACGATATTATATAATAAAATTATATAATACTATTAAGGCGTATTAATTAATTACTTAAAAGAGTATATTAAGCTTCGAAGAGGTCTTAAGAGACTTAAATCTTCGCTTTAAAATATTAAATATTCTTTTAATAACGTTACGTAACTGTAAGTATCGTAGATTAAATAATTCTCTATAATTTTTAGACTTTATCCTAGCCTACTTCTATTCTTTTAAATAATATCGAATATTTATATAAGAAGTTAATAGTTAATTATAATTAATATATCTAGTATTAATAAGATAGTATTTTTCTACTAGTACTAAAAACTTATAATTATTAAAAGTATCTTTTAATATAGATATATTATAGGAAGATTTCTTTTACTTAGATAATACGTAGTAAAATAATATATTAAATCTATATATAGCTAAGACGTTCTAACTTAGAGTACTCTTTCTATTTCGTTAAGATATATACTTAGTAACTAATATGTAAATAGCGATATAAGTATTATTTAATACTTCTAAATAGTTATTAAAATAAGACGTAAATTTTAGACTAAAGAAGATCTTTTCTAAAATAGAGTATAAAGTCGTTAATAGTTAAATAAATTTCTAATATAATATATATATAGTCTTTATAACTTCGTAATAGTATCGACTAATAATCTCGTCTAAGTGCTAAAAGCGATTATATAGATACTTATTACTAAGATTATAGTCTACTATTCTAATAAAAATAATTAATTTCTTCGTAATTCTAATAAGACGAGTAGAAGCTAGATTAGTATAATTAAATAGTTAACTTTAAAGCTTTTCTAGAATATACGATAATATATGAAAAACGTTTTAAATATTTAATATATAATTATAATAAAGAAGCTCTTAAATATATATATAACTACTTAAGATAGAAGTACGACGTGTTATTTTATTATAGTAATAGAAATAGTATTAAGTAATAGTAAAAATAGTAGCAATAATAACTTTCTCGACTTACTGGCTATTATTCTTTATTATAGTAATATATATAACTCTATTATAGCCCTAGATTTAGCGATATAGATCTCGCTTAACGTATATTTATTAGCTAATTAGCTCTAAATCTTATTTATTAGTAAATATAATAAATTCTATATATTTAACTCTTGGTAATAGAAAATTATTAATTTATAAGTATAGAATATGAGAATATAGTAACTAAACGATAGTACGTGTTTTCATAACCTAGAATGTTAGAAATGTGGGGTGAAAATATAATTGAATTTGGTTGTCAAAGGGGCCCTAAGGGCTCCTTTAGCAATTAAAATCTATATTTTAATTTTCGTTAGTTAAATACTAGCTTTACGATCTAAATATATATATTAAAATATTATATAACCTTAACGTTAAGATTAAAATCTATTTCAGCCTTAAGGGCAAAAAAGCACATTTGTTTATAAATCGACTTCGATCTTAGTTTTTAGTTTTTAAAAATGTACGCTAAATTAAAGCGATATCTACGTGAATTATTAAAGAAAATAACTAATATTGAAATTAAAAGCGATTTAAATTTTACGTAATTAATATAGAAGTATAAATACGTTATTCTCTTTAATATGCACTTTTAGATTTATATTAAAAATTATTATAATGTTATTCGGAAATAGTACGAGCTGTCCGGGGCTTAAGGGGGGCATTTTCGTTACGAACCTTGAATTCTTGGCACGTATAATACCTGTGCTCGAAAAGAAAGTTGGTATTTTGACCTGAAATTCTTGAAAATGTGGGCTTGAATTTGGTTGCCAAAGGGGCCCTAAGCGCATTGTCCAGGCCACTCCTCCGGCCGGGCGTTAATTTATCCGACGTCTTGGCGCAAAGGTCTACTGTAGGCGTCCAGGAATGCTGATGCCCCCCTCCGTATACAATGTGTTGGACCACCCTCTTGGGTACCAGATGGGCTGGTGGTTTGGCGATTCCTCAATCCTAAACAAATCCTCGCGAGTGCACTGTTCGAGTCTTTAAGAGTTGCAACGACTCTAGTATTGAAGGCTGCCATGATGCAATATGAGTGACCATCCAGTCCTTCGAATACAAAGGTGGCCTCTTGGATTTCAGCCTCTTGCTACAGATCCTCGAACGCCAGGACATATTAGTTGTATTCCCGACCATAAATTCGTACCACGAATCGCACTCTTTACAAATAATCCCGACCCAAATATAGGCATTTCGAGTACGATCACCGGAGCGTCGACGGCGCCGCTGAGTCCTCTTGCTCTACCTTCACCCTCTCTCTCAAACGCGAAGCGTGGGTTGCTTGCATCCCGCTCTGCCTACAATCGCCTCTAGTCTTCTCCCACCCACGTTCGTCGACTTCACGAGACGCTATGGAGGATGCTAAGGACACATAGTGCCTGGTGGATACAATACTACAACGGCAGGCTGCTTGGGAGAGGCGAGGAAAGCGTGGGAAGAAGGAAAGACAATACATGGTGCAGTGGACTCAAATGTGGCTATTCGTCCTAGAAGCTGGACGGGCTGAGAACATGTGGAGGATCGTCAACCTATTACAGAGAAAGCCAGGTGTATTTGGACCTTAAGACGAAGTCCAAGTACACTGGCCTGCTTTATTGGTCTCAGAGGCAGCTCTAAGATAAGCTGGAAGTTGGAAGACCCGGTGTTTCCACCCTCAAAGGAACGAATACAGAAGACTGCGAAAAATAGTCAAATGTTTCACTAGAGGGCCGGCGATAGGGTTTGCAATGGCTATTCCAGCAAATACCGATCACGGGCTAGGCTTCACTGCCATAGTCTTACTAGATTTCTATCGGTCTTGGGCATCTCTGACCATGGTGACAACATACATTCCCTCAAACCCTGGGAACTTCTGTTCATCGATGTAGTCATACGTGTCCACTATCCGAAAACCTTGCTTCGAATACAGCCCATACTGTGTAGCATCTTTGCTAGCTTCGACCATGGCCCTGGATCCCTTTTCATCAATGATTCGCGCGGCCCACTTCACTAAGAGCGTTGCTGCACCCTGTCTCTGGCGAGCAGGATCGGTTCCTAAAGCCTGCAGATCTGTTCATAGTGAGAACCGTTCTCTTTCTTTTAGATGTCACTATTGAGTTGGTCTGTCACTCACAGCAGTAAGAGCCCGGAACTTGCAAAGCTTCAAAACATCTCCGACGATCATTCTTCGTATTCAAAGTCCACTCCACCGCTGATCTCATCCCTTCGTCGACTTGTGGACAATGGATATCGCTATCCTTCGCGCCAGCAAACGGATTCCCGTCGCAAACCCGCATTGTGGCGAACGCGCAAATTTCTCCCGTTTCGTCGTCAACCACTTTGGCTGCCACAACATTAGACTCTTTCCATCCAAGAACGTCTATGAATCGTGCGACATTCTCAGAGCGACCAGGATTATCGAGGCCCCCTGGGGAACAGGCTTTTAGAGCTGGTTGGTTGGAAAAAGCCTTGTACTGAATTGCGAAAAGCGAATCAAAGTCCTCATCTGCAATATCTTCGCTGACAATGAACGGCATGTTCGGACGTCTTTTGCACTAGGTTTTTGAGGAATTAATGAGAACAAAGGAACTCGTGATGGGTCGAAGTTCGGACAATTAGTGAGGGACGAGATAAGCTAATGTTCATAAGTATCTCTACTTACCTGGGCTGGATAAAGACTCTGATTGGCTCAAAAGAGACTTTACGTAATTGCGCAAGTGACCCATTCGTATCCCGTCTGTTCAATTTGCCTGCAGCTCGGACGTCAGACTCTCCACTATCCTGCCTTATATGCAAAGTCAGGGATCACAGCTTCACCCACGCAATCTGTGGTCATAGGCCTGCATACGTTGAACTCAAAAAGGTGGTGGCACTCAGCTTCTCAGAGGTAAAAGCTGCCTCTTCCGATGCAAATTCATCATGATATTATGTTGCAGGCACTCGTTTTTCTATGACACCGTGATATCGTTTTATGGCTTAGTTGCACTCTTCTGTTCCTTTTCTCGATTGGGAGCATCCTCACTGTCACGGCATGTCGTCGAAAGGATACAGACTCATACAAGAGAAAAACGCCATTGACGAGGTCTTTACGCATCATCATGATAAAGATCTTGGCTTTAGCAAGAGACGTCAACTTGTCAGCGGCATCGTGTCTATTACTCTCGCCATGTCACTAGCTGCGAACGCTTTTTTCATCATCTCGCACTTCTTACATAGGCCTCATGAGATTTCTTCGAACAGGACTGCTTTCGGTAGAGTTACTCTTGAGCTAAGCATTGTACAGGTCATTAACTGTTAAGCAGCCAGCCTTGAGCGCAATAAGCAAATTGCATGGACTGATGATAGCGGTTTTGCCAGCCATAACAGAACCATATGGGACCAAGCTTGGGGGACTTTGAATCCTGACACAGGCTTCGTGGCCATCAGTGATGATTTCGCCCTGCGTACTGGACTCCATGAGTCGCAGCGTTGGCCCTGGGATTCATCGAAGGGGCTGTATCTCCTGCAAGGCTATCACAATCTACACTGCCTCGTAAGCTACCTCACTCTGCTACGTGGTAACAACAGCCTTCGTTAAGCTCAGTGCAGACCATACTGCGGACGTCGCTCACGGAGATGCATGATGAAAAGCCGCAAAGCCTACACTTCACGCATATAAATCACTGTCTCGATGGTCTCCGGCAAGAGATCATATGTAATGCAGATGACACGCCAAGATACTCGGGCTTAGATCAGAAGATGGGCACTGGCAACGGACAATACCGAATGTGCAAAGACTGGAAGAAATTGGAGGAGTGGGCAAACAGTCATTCTGCTTGCTACAAATATAAGCATGGGGTGGAGACCATTGAAGGAGGGATCCCACTTGACAGATTCAAGCACTGCCCCGATGGGAGCAAGCCATGGATAGAGTCATCGAACAAGGATTGAATGGGCGAAAAGCGAGGTCTTCTACATGTATCTACATATGTTCAGGGCATGTTCTATATCGTCGCAATGCACTCTTGCTGTCAATAAGTGCAAAAATGCATTTGCGAGAGGCCTCTGAGAAATACCGCGCGAAACACGATGGATTTGTCATGATAGATTTGAGCAAATTCATTCTTCGTCCACCGGCATACCCAACCACTGATTATCCACAACCCTCCACCCACACCTTCCGTCCCTCCCCCAACAACAACGTCTATACCGGTCCGCCGAGCTTGTCATTTCTTTTCCACATGAGAAGATCGTTTGCGTTATAGGTCAGATTACATACTTAACGAAGCACATCGATGTCCTCTGGATAGGCACTGTCCCCGTTCATTACTACGGGGAAACTCGGACCGACATCTGTTTCTGACTCGCATGAGAAATCGGTAACAAGGGTTTCGTGCAAAAGGAGGCACCTACCTGGCATCGGTAGTGCCAAAGCCCATCCGGAAAGCATAAATGACACGAACAAAGCTGCCCACTTCATATTGAGTGGGATTGGACGGCCGTTGTGGTGGGAAGTTTTTTGAACTATGTTGAACAATATTCGCCGTTGGTTAAAACGAGATCGACTTGACACTAGGCTGGCTGACAGGACTTTTCTCAGAAAAAGTTCTCAGGAAAAGAATAGGAAAACGAATATCTTTAACCGTCCTTTGAGACGAGGATCCTCGACTCAAACGCATTGATACGTCAGCCTGCTTGATGCAAGTGAACCCTTGTTCGCCCTTCAAATCCGTCATAAGACAAAGGGTCGTCGGTACGAGGTACTCCTGTGGCCATCAAATGATGCGTTGTGATGATGTCCGGGAACATCCCATACGAGGAAATAGCTAATCGTATGGGAACACGCTACACTTAGTATGGGCCACCCCAACGCTAAGGCCACCCCAATACCAATTTTCTTAATTATTCTATCTACCCACCTATATATATATTTATTTAAGGCTACTATAGTCTATTTTTAACCTTTTTAATTACTTTAATCTTGATTAACTTTCTAACCCTTTATACAGTAGCCTTAAATCACTTAATATTCTTATTTCTAAATATATTATATACTCGAGACTCTTTAGTATTTACCTACTTTAAAGCCCTTAAAGTCCTTTTTAATTTTTATTTCCTTACGTATAATAATCTAAGACCGGGCCTAATAAGAATAATAATACCTCTCTTCTAAACCATCGTATTGATTTTACTTTTTAAGTTATTCGGGCTATTATAGCTTATTAAATAATATCTAATTCTCGCTTAACGAGTAGATCTAAAAAAAATTGCAACTTTTATAAATATCGGACGATAATAAGATATTCTCGATCTATCGAGCCGTTATATATATTAATAAAGAATTTATTTTTTAGGATTTATGGGCGCGTAAGAGTAGCTATCTTTAAGGGGAATCTTATTATAGCGATATAGAAGCTGATCGTAGGCACGTTAAATTAAGTAATTAATCGAGTGACTTTAGGCTTTATTCCGGGGGTAATAGAGACTAAGGCCTATTAAATACGTTCTTGAATAACGATATATAAGTTAGGCATCGTTGTGGTTGTGGTAGATAGGTGGGGGATGGATGGGTCAAGAAATTGAGAAAATTGGTGTTGGGGTGGCCTTAGCGTTGGGGTGGCCCATACTAAGTGTAGCGTGTTCCCATACGATTACGGGGATGAACACCCGGTCCCGACAAAGCGGCTGAAGTTGCGGGATCTAATTACCATGCGCAGATACGGCACGGTACGTTATTAGTGATGTTACAACATACAGTGCTAAAGTATGTTGTAGCTGGACATGAATGAGTAAAGTGCACTTTGCGTTACCTCCATTGGTCATATCACACCTGCTTATCTTTTCAGGCACTTTCGTGGTGCATGTTGAAGCTGCTGTGTTTTGAACTAATGCTGCACAAAGCGGATCCGACTACTTCGATAGTTAATGATATGCAAGGGTCATTTCTTATTGTGCTTCAAGGCATTTCTGCAGCAACGGATCCGACCGCTTCTATTGTTAGGCTTGTGAAAGACTCTCTTCGACGCAGGTTAAATTCGGTATCGATTTGGGGGCGGTGGATCATCTATTGAGTTCCTTGTCGAACCACTGCAAGACATGGGACTACATTCTCGAGGCAAGATCTACATGACAATTGCGCTCTTCGAAAATGTGTGTCGCGGGCTTCCAGGCTTACGGCCCTCTTGGATCTATCACCAATCACCCACCCCGGACTGCATCATCCTGCATTCAGCCCCTCTCCACCCACCATTTCTGAAGAGGTTCGGACCCACTTCCGTGACCCCCACCTAAAGCAGCCAGGTTAGCGATGCAACCTCCAAGTCTGCATTCGCAATCATCGTTGACTGGCGCTACAGATTTTGAAAGATTTCGCCAATGTTCTGCACCCCCCACTACCGATGGCCAACCAATCTCATCTCCGTCTAAGGTCCAAAGACTTATTTTACCCCCGGGTGTCAATATTGTTTCTATTCGCATTTCACATTTTATTCAGATCGTGCTGCTTCGATTACTAGAACACACTAAACACACTTGGAATCAAGACTGCCCTCACTATGTCGAGAAACCCGTCAACCTCTCCCTCTGGTCTCGTCACAATGAGTTGTATCCTCCCCGCTCTTTCAATCGCTGCAGTCGGCTTGCGCTTTTGGTTGCGTGGCAGACAGGACTCACAGACGAAATTCGACGACTGGTTGATGCTGCCAGCCCTGGTGAGCCCACATTCATCTAGACTCCAGTACCAAGATCAAGCTAGTGACCTTCAGCAGGAAGCTGACCTTCTCGCTTGCTGCAGATTTTGTTCATTGGCATGTGCATATGCACTATTCTAGGTATGAGTGGCCAATCAAGATCCTCCAGCATACGCTCACCTTGGCGCGTGTTGGTGTCCACAAACGGGCCTGGGGGTATCCAAACCTAGATCCAAAAAATGGTGTTGAGGCCTACAACATCTGCCAGATATATGAGGGTCAGGTAAATTACAGCAAAACACTCTATTTTAGTTAACACCAAGTCTAATGCGCTCAACTTCAGCTATTGGAAGCGTTCCAATTCATACAGATTCTTGCCCTAGGATGCATTAAGCTCGGGGCACTATTCTTCTATCGCCGCATTTTCTCCACTGGGGTTGCCTCAGCTACCTTTAACATTACGCTTTACCTATGCACCGCGATCACAATCTTGTGGACGATCGCGATGATTGTGATGAACGCGGTCCAATGCGGGTCCCACATTTCTGCACTTTGGACCACTAATGTAGAAGATTACTTGGAGTATTGCATCTACGTCTTTCCTTTTCTGAACGGCTTTGCAATATCAAACTTTTTGCTGGATCTGTTGATCCTCATGTTGCCAATACCCAAGGTTCCAGTGGACTTAGTTTGGGCGGAGATCGATCTCGCTTACACGATGTAGATTTGGTCGTTGCACGCAAAAAAAGCCAGGAAGATAGGCGTGACTGGAGTTTTTGGATTAGCAATAATGTCAGTAGCATGCCCAATATGCCTTTAGCTTATGTCGCATAGCAGGTCAAAGAGGTCAAAGACTTACTTTCACCAGTGGCCTAGCAGCTAGCGCAGTCCGAATGGCCACGTACATCCATCTTACAGAAGGTAAACCTATTCTGCACATTAATTACTCATCGAAGTCATGAGCTGACCCGAATATCAGACGGACCAAGTGCCACCGCGGATGCACACCGTAAGTTTTCAGAGCCCAAAAGCTCAAATCCATAAGTCAATCGTGGCTCGCCCTGATTGCTTGAAACAGTCGAAGACACAGAAACCGTCTTCTGGTCTAATCTAGAAGGTGGCTTGAGTCTCCTCGCTGTCAACCTCCCATCCCTGTGGGCCATCATCGGCAAAATGTCGTCCCCGGCGTCGCAACTGGTAGCCAGCATCCGCAGTGCTCTTTCATTACGCTCGTTCGGCAGCGGTTCACATCACTCCTCGAACTCGAGAACCCGCAAAGCTACTCGTGGAGCTATTGGTGGCGGAGGTGTTGTTGATGGCGCCAATAAACATTCGGATGAATCGCAGGTCCGGATTCATGAGACGATTGAGGGACAAAGTACTGAATGGCATCGTCTGAGGCAAATTGACAGTCAAGAGACTGATGTGAATGCCCCTCGAGTCAGCAATGGCACGGACTACGATGCGGAAAGGGCCGATAACCACAGCAGTATGGTATGAACAACTTTGTCGTTGGAAGACGTTGGGCTTTCCACTGTTCGAATAAAGGCGAGAATGTACTTTATTGATTGTTAGAAACTACACGACCATAGAAAAAGCGTTCGGAGGATCTGGGGAGAGGAAGCTAGGGAGGAAGCGTAACAGAGGAGAAAGGCTGTTAAACTTACGATGACATGTAGGGGAGCTAATCCGCGATGACTATCGAACAAGGCACTGACGGCAGGTTCCAGACGTGGTCCAACCTCTGGCCCGTACCATGGGAAAGCCTCAGAAGGAGATCCTGGTGCCATTTATTTGACTGAGATCTAATGATTGAACGATGCTGTTGAAAGGTGGGGGCCTCTTGAGATGGCGTCTGGCATGGTTGCGTATGTGGAAAGACGATCAATACCCAGGGAGGTATTGCGCTGTTTTACGTTCATAAAAGTCTGGGATTTGCCTCTGTCGTCTCAGAGAGGATACTAGGTAGTTTTATACATCATGGAAATCATACTTTGAAGTGGCAGCCCAACATATGAACCTAGAGAAATCTACCGACAATTTGTGATACGCAATGCTATGCAGACGTTATTGACCAGACGCGTGAGGAAGCAAAGGTAGAAGGTCCATGATACCAGATCGAGTTGCGGTACATTCCTGAGCGCATTATCTACACCTTTTAGGCGAGGTGTTATCCGACATCTTAGCGCAGTTAGGGTTAGGGTCTGACATCGACTTTACCAGGAGCCCTAGCCCTAGCCCTACCTTTCCTCTAACTAGCTCACTGCATTTTCGCTGCCAAGGCCCGTTGCTTGCAGCACAGCAGTGAGCATTTGACGTGTCACCATCCTCAGTGGGGAAAGGCCACATGCGCTACATCAATCAATACGAAGGCATCTTCAATGTTATGAGATCCTGATAACGCAAACCTGCTTTTGAGATCGACAACGAGTCGCCTCGAGCGACCATGGGTGACGACGCTACAATGGCCGCCAATCTCACCCGTTCCTTGATGAACAGTGACCTCGAAAGCATGTCAGCTAGAATGTGATGGAGAGAAGGCTGGGCAAATAATTGCCGCCGGTGGGCGATCGTGGATCACATCGCGTTGCCTACGAGCTGGTACGAAAATCTGTGCGAGTGTATCCACGCTGCATCCTGACGGGCATCCTATACTGACGCGCACCTCATCTTACCTAGGGTATGGCTCAATCGGACCGAGACCCTGCTGAAGACACCATGTTGGAAGAGGAAGCTACAACTTTCGTGGGAGGTCTTTTGGATGCAGGTCTGATCTCCTTCGGATCAATATTCGACTCACGCTCATCCAGCCTCAGACTGTACCAGTTACAGCGACGATGCCGGAACCCCAACAGCTCCTCCAATCCCTCGTGACAGGCCTTGGCAAGCAAACATATTCTACACGGCGGCGAAGTCCATCTCGAGACGACTAGTCTCTGGGAGGGAAAGAACATTCGACCGTCTCTTCCCATCGTCGTTCGGGTACACGCCCATCGAGATGGACGACCGCAGCTTAGGACCAGCAGGGGGTCATTCCAATACGTTCCAAATAAATGAAAGGTCCACGTACGACATGGCTGGTAGTAGTAGAGCTCCAGGCGCCGAGATTGAGACTACGAACGCAAAGTCGGCCACCATCATAGAGGCAGACGAGCCTGGTCAACTATCTGCGAGCGACATCGTATCTGTCGACGGCGACGAACCTACTGAGGAAGAGCTAGCGACCCTGAGAAAAGTCGCAGATCGTTTGCCGTGGTCCGCTTTCATCGTGGCTCTAGTCGAGTTATGTGAACGATTCACCTACTACGGTCTCTCCGGCCCATTCCAAAACTACATTCAGTATAACCCTCACGATACACCTGTTCGTGGAGCTATTGGTACAGCTCTCTAGTCGTTCACCGTACAAGGGGATTCAGCAGCTAAATCTGACAGGCTTGGGCCAAACCGGGGCGACAGGGTTGACAAATTGTAAGAGCTGCATGGCCGATGCTGTAGGGGACGTGGCTAAAGGAGCGTTTCTCAGTCTTTCAGTTTTGGTGCTATGTACGGTCTCAACCGAACCCTCTCAGACTGCAAGTACGGTTGATACTGACCGTCTTACAGGGGACACCAATTCTTGGTGCCATCGTTTCCGATCAGTACCTCGGCAAATACAAGACAATTCTGTACTCTGCCTTCATCTATCTGGCTGGCATCTTCATACTGTTCTGCACCTCCCTACCCTCGGCAATCGAGCATGGCGCAGCTTTGGGTGGCTTAATTGCAGCAATGGTAAAAGTCCTCGCACGGTGGCTCTCCGTGACGAACGCTGATGTTAGATGCCACTGGTAGGCAGTTATTGGGTTAGGTACTGGCGGCATTAAGTCGAACGTTAGTCCTTTGGTCGCAGAACAGTACCGCCAAACCAAGATGACTATTCGGGTCTTGAAGAGTGGTGAGAGGGTAATCGTCGATCCTGCAATCACCATTCAGCGTATTTACATGGTGGGTCCTCTACGCGATTTCCAACCTTACCATATGCTAAAGCCAAAGTCAAGATCTTCTATCTGTGCGTCAACCTGGGCTGTCTGTCTCCTCTTGCCACCACAGAAATGGAACAATCGACAGGATTTTGGACGGCGTATCTTCTCTGTCTATGCTTCTTTGTTCTTGGAATTGCCATTTTGATCGCAGGGGAGAGATACTACGTAGTCCATCCTCCCAAGGGTTCAATAATTATAGATGCGTTCAGGGCGATGTGGATTGGCTTGAGAAACGGGGGCAACATGGGTAAGTCGTCCGCTGCTGCCGCGTCAGCATCCCTATTCTTGTTCGATGCTAATAATGTTGCAGACGCCGCGAAGCCCTCCTACCAAGATGAGCGCGGACGCAAGTACAAAACGTCATGGGACGATGTATACATAGTTGAGCTCCAACGTGGGCTCGCTGCATGTCGCGTCTTCCTTTTTTACCCAATATACTGGGTCGCCTACTCGCAAATGTTGAACAATTTTATCTCACAAGGTGAGTACTGCCAGCATCAGTCCATCGATGAAGCAAAGGCCCTCGTTAACATTGATTACAGCTGGTACCATGCAACTCCATGGCATTCCCAATGACTTCATGCAGAATATCGACCCTCTTACTATCATCTTTCTTATTCCCATCTTCGATCGCCTTCTCTACCCCGGCCTTCGCAAGATTGGTATACCGTTCCGACCGATCACTCGCATTACATGGGGCTTCGTCTTCGGTGCACTCGCCATGGCATACGCAGCCATTGTGCAGCATTTGATCTACTCATCCCCACCATGCTACAACGCCCCTCTTGCGTGCGACACTTCCCACTTGCCCAATGAGGTCCATATAGCGGTGCAAACGCCAGCGTACTTCTTCATGGCCGTATCGGAAATCTTGGCGAGCGTCACTGGACTAGAGTACGCTTTCACGAAAGCGCCGCCATCCATGAAGTCGTTCGTCATGTCCATCTTCCTCCTGCAGTCCGCGTTCGGATCTGCACTTGGAATGGCACTGGCACCGATCGCGAAGGATCCAAGGTTGGTGTGGATGTATACTGGCCTTTGCATCGCTACTCTCATCGCCGCTCGGCTCTTCTGGGTGTGTTTCAAGCATCTGAACGCCACCGAGGAATCGATGAACATGCTGGAGAACAAGGGTGAAAAGGCCGTTGGTGTCGGCCACGTTGACGCTACAGGAGCTCTGGATCGCAGTGTCAAGGGCAGGAATAGGGCTGCTATCAGTGAGGGCGAAGTTTGAGATCCCGTATTAACGTAGTAATCTTATAGTGAAGGATTTCTACAGGAGAGAAAGACGGGAACCTTGAGGAAAAGGTTCATTTGATAATCTATAGTGGCGTCTGCCTCTGCGGCGAACTAGCACACTTCCCCAATCAGTGGGTAGTAGTCACAGAAGTAGGGAATGAGGCTTGAGGGATGAACGGCGTTTAGAATACGCTTGCTGCGAGAGGACAATTTACCGGCCAGGTTCATCAGAGCTCAATCAAATATCCACAGAGACCGGAAGTCAGCCACTTCCATCTATGTAATTTAAGAAGAAGACTTGAGAATCAAACCTGATCAATCGCGCATCCGGACTTTTGCCTGCCTCTCCGGCAACATACACAGTACTTAGGTTTAGCGCGGGACGTTGCCTGCAACTTAGGAAGACGGACTCTGGGATAGCTTGATACAGTTTGTAACAGCGTAGATTGGATGCTAAGTAAAGCGGATAGCACAAGCTTTGACGAGCAAGCACGCCTCGTGTCTCTAGGGGCCCCACAACCATCGCGTTATCGCTGTCGTAATTACTCACAGCCGGCTACGAGGCCCTGGAACGCAGGTAGCCGTCTGGCAGTCCGTCGCGGAGAGTATGTTGGTCGATGTATTTGAGCTTCTAATGATATCGAGTGACGATTATAGGACTCGTCCGCGCGCTGCTGCTGTGGAAGATTATCGCGTCCGGGAATAGAGATGCGGAGGTCGTCGTATTCGCGAGGGAACTTATGTCAGCGTGTCTATTATGAATTGCAAATTAAATAAGAATGCTTGGCAAAGCTGATTCAGCTCCGCCTCCGACTTTTGTTAGCGTATTCATAGAAAATTATTGGAAAGCTTGCTTTCTTAATACTCGAGACTTAAAATCCTAAATGGCTTCTACGCTAAGATGCTAGTAACTAATTAGATCCTCGAATTTCACGATTTCTAGTCTAAAACACACCTTATTTCTTCATCTTCGCTCTAAACACGGGTACGTCCAAAGAGGAAGCACCATAAGGCTGAACCTCGAACATCAACTTTATCAATTTATTCTATTTAATTCCTTCAACGTTACGTAATAAATGATAATAAAGTAAGTTTATAGAGTTATAGAGTTAACTATACGCTTTCAAATAATATAGCGAAGACGAAATTTGATAAAGTATTCGTAAAGATATACTAAAAACTAAGATTTTTATTCAAATTATCGAGCTTGCGAGAAGAGCCCCTCCGGCAGGAGCCCTCGGAGAGCCCTCGGAGAGCCCCCGGAGGGTTAGGGGGTTTCAGGGGTCTCCCCTGAGTATATCAACTATCTCTCTCGATTCTCAGGGCTAGACCCCTTAAAATCCCTTAAACCCTTCGGAGCTCTTTAAGGGCTCTCCGAGGGCTTCTATCGGAGGGGCTGTCAAAGCAAGCTCGAAATCAATCAAATATGACTAAAATAATCAAATTTCGAGCTTGCTTTGACAGCCCCTCCGATAGAAGCCCTCGGAGAGCCTTAAAGAGCCCCCGAAGGGTCCGAGGGGTTTTAGGGGGTCTCCTGAGAATTAAACAGTCAAAACCAGTACTCGGCAAGCTTTTCACTACTGGGAAGCCCGCGCCCCAGCACATATTAGAGAACGTACTTGCCACTCTTGCAATAGCCACTGTCGTCTACTACCTCAGTTGGACATTCGTGATACCGAAGCTAGTGGGTATACACGCTTTTCCTGGTGTTTTACCTCTAACTTAGGCGTGTAATAGCTATATCGCCAGCCCTTACTTCGGACGCGATGCCACCATTTAGAAAGGATCCGTAATGCTCCTATCGGTGACCCTGCTCGATATCATAGTGATATAAGACGAGGTAATACTGTCAGTATTCTACCTGCATACACCACTACTGGCTATTTGCCCTATACCGGAATCAAGTAAGGCTATTATAGCAAGGGAGACATCCTTAACTGACTGATCAATCGATTACTACCCCTTTACAACGAGTATCCTAGAGAGCGCAGTATCATTGTTCTGGACAACGTTAATATTCACGTCGATCCTCGTATTATTAAGGCTATACAGGCCAAAGACTGTCTTATCAAGCACCTCCTCCGTATTCGCCTGACTACAATCCCATCGAATTGATATTCAGCGTCCTTAAGGCGTGGATGCGGCGTATTTTAAGGCCTTTCGACACGTCTTTCAGAACGATTTTGAAGGATTTCTGAAGCATGCAATCGATGTTAGTGGCTGTGATAGATTTGCGATAGAGCATTTCAAGTAGAGCACTGCAGGCTACATATTGGACGGCGAAATTAAGGCATTTGAACGAGATTTAAAGCATTTGACTATGGAGATAACAGAGTAGTTACAATGAAATACTACGTAATATTAATCAAAATCCTTCACCTTCTCTATGATCTTCTCCCTAACCTAATCGTTCCAGAGCATAAGTATGCTGGTAAGTTGGAGTGGGCTGGTACAAGAGTAGCAAGTACGTTCTCTACAATTTTCTATGAATGGCGCTAACAAAAAGTCGGAGGCGGAGCTGAATCAGCTTTGCAAGCATTCTTATTTAATTTGCAATTCATAATAGTTCCTTCTATGCATGCGTCCTTCCTACATCCTTCCATGCAATTCCATCATTATTCTTTCATATAGTTAGCATAGATAGCAGTGCTTTATTCTCCATCAGCTACATAATAGCTGATGGCCCCATCACTGAATCACATACATTCTACATCATCACCGTTATGCCTCGCTAAGAGGTTATAAGCCTAGGTTAATATCGATGATAGACTGATATCGCATCAAATCTTACTATCATCCCCTTTATTAGGCCTAACGAACCATAAACTTATAAGAACATTCCATTCATTTCGAATAGAAGGAAGGATTAAGACAATAGATTTAAGTCATTCGTTGGGAGGATTTTTTAACAGAATATTAGCCATGTTAGAGCCAGTCGAAGCCGTGCCTATGCCCTGCCTTATCCGTGCCCGTCCGACGCCATACATCCCAATGAAGTTAATCGCTCGATATACCCAAGGCCGTTGGGGATTTTTCAATAGATGTTGAGCCGTGTCGAGCCAGTACCGAAGCCAGTGCCGGATATCCGTCTATATTCGTGCCCGTACCGACGCCAGTATATCCCAACGAGTCAATCGCTCATATCCCTCGCACCGCCATCAGCCCTACATAATAGCCCCATACTTCAAATAACTACTACCTATCCCAAAGAACGATTCTACAAAAATAAGTCGAGGATACCTGGACGGTCTACGTTCGAAGATTCTAAACGGATATTATTGGACTGGGGGGTTGGGGAGTGTGACATCGGCATCTCGGGTACTCAGAATATTAGGCGATTCAGGACCCTATGCACTAGAATAATATATGATTTTGGCTTGGAATGTTTTAGATATCCTACGGGAATATCGCTTCTATTCCTCTTGTTCTCCTTCCTCATCCTTCCTCATTCATCATTTTCTTTCTATGTTGATGATAGCGTGCTTTATTCTCCTCTACTATAGCTGATAACCCCCTAATCCACATGTTCTCTCTCCTTGTGAGAACTTATCGGTTAGGAACTTCGAAGACTGGATTGACGTCTTGGAGCTTCGAATTGGGAAAGAAGGGTTGTGGTCGCGGCCAGTGGTGGGAAGGGAAGAGGGGGGAGATTGTGGACTCTCGGTGGACTCGAGACTAAAGGTTGGCTGCGGGGCTTATGCAGCAGACGGAGCGAGGGGGGCGGTCCATAGCTCTGGGTTTAGTCGTGGTCTGTGATTAAGATATCAATCATGGCTCTTTGCAGAAACGTCGTGAACAGGGAAGCGTGAGGTAGTAGCGAAAGGCGGTATCCTCAGCTGATAAATCAAGACAGCTCCGCCCCCAATAGGTAGGATGCCCGAAGAGTACAGTAATCATGAAAGTGGATATAGGCGCTCATAATGATTCGGAGCTCGGAGTCCAAAGCACGAGAGGAAGCGTGTCTTGAATGATCTATACACATGCCCACTTCGGTTCAACTCTCGGAGCTGACCGAGGAAGCTTAGCGAGATCCCAGGGCCACTCGAACTGATTCTGACGACGAGCCAATGTGGAGTGGTCCGTTGGGTAGAATCTTCAACACATTTACGTCTATGGTCTCGGTGCATGCCCACCCGCGTGCAATACTCCCGTGCATTCTAATCAGCTACTGTCTCTCGGCCTCCCATAAAAATGTCCGCCAATACTAAGAACTGAGGCAATGTTCGTGAAAGAGAGGCGATTGAGGGAGTCAAGCAACATTTCAGAAGCAAGACAGAGGGTAAAAAGGCTAGTTCTGTCTCGTAAGTGACGCTGTGTTTGACCAGATGACTGGCCCCTTTCTCCTCCTCTCAGCCCAAGCTCCCAGATCGCCGTCAACTCTCGCCGATTTTACGCTTGGTACCCTGAGTACTCTGCCTTGGAACTATGGTCGCTTCTCCCAGTCTTGCTGCAATGTTTCCGGCGTCCCTCAGTGCCAAAGACACGGAAAGCCGGTCAGTAGGATCCCACATAGTCATCCCTTGGAGAAGCGTGAAATATTTCAAATGCTCCCCGAGCGTGATGACCCTTTGCTCAAAACGGTCATGGAACCTTTTTAGCCTGGCCTCCAAGACAAAGTCGGTAATCTCTGTCCCCGGCAACTTTCGACCTCTTGTCCACATATCATCATAATCATTCCAATTGACATGTTGCCCTCTCAAGGCGCGGAAGGCGCTCATACCCAAGGCCCATACGTCTACTGAGCTTCCATATCTTTTCTGCTCGACCGTAGACCCCATCTTCAGATTTATGATCTCGGGCGCGAGATAGGCGTATGTTCCTTGATTGTGGTCATCTGATGTTCTCTCTGTCGTGGCTGCGTCCAAGTCCAAGATGATTCCCCTGGGAGGGCTGAAGGAAAGAACACCGAGGTTACTAGGTTTGATATCCCGATGCATTATCCCTTTGGTTTCGTGTAGATATACCAGACCTCGCAAGTAGTCGCAGAGTAATGCAATTTGAGCAGAGAGGTTGATTTTATTGGAAATGACCACATCTTCAAGGCTAGCCAGAGCCAAAGGGCTGTACACGCAATATATAGCTGGGAATGCTGGCTCGAGGTTGCTGGTTGAATGAATGAGTTCCAGGATATTTGTCTTTCTTAATGTTAGAGCATCGTCGCTTCAGCCGCTTCTCTCCCTACCCGGGAAGACTTACATGTTTACCAGTAAGGTTCATAATCTTCTGATGTTGACTGAGCTGCTTTCCATTCGGCCGTTTGAATCTTTTTATTGCAACAGCCGAGCCATCTTGTGCCCAACCCGCGGTCACTTCACCAAATGTTCCTCCGGCAAAGGCTCCAGGTAAGAAGGTATACCCGTCAAAGGTCAGATGAGAACCCGTCGATGGTGCTGAGAGTATTGGGTGAGCCTTCCACTGATCACCGTGATGATATTTCATGAATCCAGAGAGGCTTTCCTCAAATTTGCCATTTGCAATGGCGTCTCCACGATGAAAGAGGTACATGCATCGCCCGAATTCAACCAGATGCCCGTCTTCGAGAACCTTGGAAGAAGCACTCATCCTTTGATCAATGTGCTTGAATCCTGTTGACCCACTGACCTCCATACTGTGAAGAGCTTCCACCGTGGTCTGACATGACTCCTTGTGAATGTAAAGTCGTGCATGATTTCCCAGGATCTTATTGCTGTACCATTTCGAATCGGGTGGCCCAATCACAACATCTACCTCTGGTTTTCCACGCCCGGTGCCGATGAACCATCCCTTGGCTAGGTTTTTCGGATGTACCGAAGTGCTGAACTTGAAAGCTCCAACAAATTGTACTTGATCTGGCTCTTCTTGATCGGCTTGATCGTCTGAACCAGAAACGCTTACAGATCTGAGAGTCTCTTTGCCGTCCAAATGGATGAACTGGCGCTCATGTAGGTGGGTGTCTGGATTGTGAATCATGTTGTCCACAACAAGGTGAAACGCATTACGCGCAAATTCATTCATAGGCCTCAGCCAACCAAAGACATTGTCCGTGTTAGAATTTTGCGTCCATGAGGCCGGTATAACGGGCACTGTGTCCACTTCAAATGAACTGGCCGGGTCGGCCATGGTACAGCTACTCGGTGACTGGTGTCACCAAAGTCATACAAACGATAATGTATCACTCGAGGCGCGAAGAGGATTTTATCGTAGAGTGGACTAGATGAATATCTGGAGTGAAAAGGGAGTGAAATGGGATCAAAATGGGATTGAATGAGGTGTGTTCAGCAGGAACAGAACACAAGCTATGGAGGGATGATGGTGCTACAGACAGGTAATTTATGTAGGGATGCCAAGCCACGCTAGGCGTGATATCATGCGGCCGAATGTGTTAAGCCCAGCAAATGAAGCTCAAGTGCCCGTGTAGCCAAATATATATGTACAGAAGGCAGAGCATCATGTAGTCTGAACTTCGGAGCACTACTGCTGCAAATCATATGTGATATGGGTGATGAGAGGAGGCGTAGACGGTACTCCGTAGATTGATAAGAATTGATTAGGCGACAAGCAGAAGGCTGGGAAGAAGCCTATTGTTGTTGAGAAGTGAAGCATAGTATGAGGTTTGAAATGATGATGCGGGTCCCACGATAGTGGAAGGCATACTACTGTCTTTGGCTACAAGTATGAGTTCTTAGAGTTGAAGAGGAAAACAATAGTAGAAGGAATATTGTAGATAGAGAAGACTCTGACGCGAAGCCTCCCGCGGGGTAGAAGTATTCTGAATCACGCCAAGTCACGTGAAGATCTCCGCTACCCGCCCTTGGCATCAATCTACTCTCTTCGCTCTTTCAACTCTTGGAACCCTGCACTCCTTCTCCTTTCTTCTCGGCGCAATCCACAGAGTCACATTAATCGACTGAATAGCCTTTCTTGCAAAATGCCACCTCCGAACGACCACGATGCCTCAAGGAGCGAAGATGCAAAGCCGTCACAGACGGACGAGCCAATGTTTCCCGAAGACCTATTTGCTGACTGGCCAGAAGGCTTCCATCCCCCCACACCTTCAACACCATTGCCACAACGGAGCTTCGAGGAGAAGCTTGAGCAATACCCCGATGATGACTTCTATCGCGGTCTCCGAGAAAGCATGGTCCAAGTGCGCGCCGAGAGCCAGAGAAAGGTGGAAGCTCTAGGTTTTTCCTCTTGGAAGGAGAAGGAGAGCCATGATCTGGAGGAGAGACGCAAATGGTTGAAAGAATATGTCATGGAACATGGGCATTCCCCTCCGCCTCCCGTCATAACAGAGGATCAAAGGATTGCGGCGGAGCTGCAGTACCAGAGGAGCGTGAAGCCCAAGCCCGTACCCTGTGACTGCGAGGGTTGGTGACATTTTACTCACCACTCCTTCACTGGCTGACAACTGCATAGAGCACCTCCACCCCTGCTTTTGCCCACAGAAGCTTCTCAACTACAAATCCCAGGGCGATGATCCCTCTGACTTCCACTTCCTTCAATCCCTACATCCTCCTGAATTGAACGTCCGCATCCAAGAGAGTGACACTTCAAATCGTATCCCTGATAGGTGGCTGGAACATGTTTGGGGTATTCCATCTCAGGATAGGATTCTGCGCTTGCCGCAATGGGTCAAAAGAGACGAAACCGTTCAACGCATGATCGATAAAGAAGAGGTGGACGAGACAATATATCCTTGCGACTACGACCAAAATAAGAACCATCCACCCCCCCTCAGGACCGTATCGTTGACTCCAGACTTTAGTGCGGAGGAGAATGCTGAAGCTTCGCGGGATTTCAAGCGTCATGGCGAGCCGAACCGTCACAAAAACCGGGAGGAAAGCGCTGCGGGGCGCAACCCAAAGCTGGAACCACCAAGAATTACTACAAAAGTCGACAATGTCCATGCTAGTCTCCTGATAGAACCGACCACCGACCTTCCTGAAACCCGAAGCCAATTAGCTGCTGAACCTACCACCCAACGATCGAGACGTGGCCGCAGCAGAAATGCCTCGGCCCTGGGAGTGAACAAGACCAAACGTGCCTCACGGGCACAAGCATGTGGTATCAAGAAGCGACCTGCAAGCATGAAAGAAGCGGCTGGGAAAGCTACCTTATCTGGCAGAATGCGAACCCGCGCCCAGGGTGTCCTGAGTTTTCTGGCACTGGATTCCAGTGGTCGTGCAACCACCATTTCTGGAGATTGAGATAGAGGTAATCGGGTTAAGAAGCTGCACTCTCCGGATCTTGGGAGACCACAGCGACCGGCGCAGCCTTCCCGGCTGGCGCAATGCAAGACCTCCATATCCCAGTGAGACATTACCTTCTGAAATCCGCCTAGTTGTCAGTTGGCAGCCTTGCACTGCGGAGGAGTATGGACATAGGCGAAGGCCACTGCCAGTTCTCTTGATCTTGTGCTCGGTACGACTGCAACCTTGTATTGCGTTGCCCTGAAGAAGCCATGTCACTACATAACTGCGAGAGAATGTTGGGCTTCTGGCCCAAAGATCAAGCATTGTAGCCATGCCACAGGGTGAAATCCGAATTGTCCTTATCATGCCATCACCAACGTGAGCTCAACCATTATGAAATTGTTGTTGAGAGTGCGCCCCTCTCCAACACCTTTGCTTCGGTTCAACAGTAGGCTTGTCGACAACTTAGTTGAGATTTGATTGCTGCTCCTTACTTTGAGAGGAGCTACTAAGGCTCGATGTATTCCAGGCTAGGCTATACCTTCGTATCGCGGTACCGAGGAGATTTGCCAAACAAAATCCGGTCCCAAGCGAGTCAGCAACTCGTGTTGACCTGTTTCGAAGCTCTTCGAAGGCAACAACTCTGGGGTCGCTAACATCATGAATGAGAGGTCTCGACGTTTGGACATGGCAAATCATCATCTTTTAGAGGTAGGCCACGTTGCCGTTGCTGATACTTTGACTATTTCGGGTCTATATAGGACATTGTTCAAGATTCATGAGGCCATGAGGGGTTTGTTACTGATCGTTTCCCGTCAAGCATTGCAGCAATAACACTTCTTTGTCACTCGCCAATTCCTCCTCATAACACTTGTGCACTTGTCTTTTCGGTCTGTGCGTCTTCATTCTAGGAAGGTTCACTGGAGTCCTATCAGCAGAGTGACTTGTGATTTCAAATTGTGCTGTCCGCTAACGACGAGACCGAAGCAATGTGAAGTGTAAATTAATCTTCCAGAGATTGTGTTACCATCAGTGTTCACAAGCGATCAGTCCAGTCGACGGAATGACTTGCCACTCTCGCGACCCAGGCCTTTAGCGCCACCGAAACGATGTGATGCCTGAATTGTGGGGAAGAGTTGTAGAGAGCGTCAAATCCTGATTGCTCCTTTCTTTTATAAAGAAATCCCCATCCTTACTCGGGGTTTATCCCCAAAGTTCACCGCTTTCAAATTCCATGCATCCTCTTCAAGCTCAAAATATTTCTACCTCTCAGTCACGCCAAAGACGTAACTTAAGATGTCTTCCAGTGCTCGAGAGCGGCTATATCACGCGTCTTTACTAAGCACTAATGCACAACGAGGGACACCATATCCATGCAGCCAGAGAGATATCAATGCCACCGAGCAATTTTCTCATCACAATGAACGTCCATTCGTGAGTGCTAGCCGGGCAAGCCGAGAGATCATCGAGCACAACGATCAAAGAAGATCGCCTTCAGCCTGCGAGCAAGACGCCATCAGATGCCTCGCACGTGCTTTGGACGAGGCTGAGTCAGGCCCTTGGGGTCCGGATCTGATCATCAAATGCTTCTGTGATCTCGACACCGTCTTCTTCGGGGGCGTACTCCGAGGGAACGTTCGCGTTGGTTGGGGAAGTGCCCACGAATTGGCAATGTTAGAGGAAGCCCTTCGCGACAACTACGGCATCACAATCCACACGCAGCCTGGGCGCGCAGATATCTTTCTCAATGCCAGAGGTATCTTCTCAAATCCAAATGCTGCTGTCAGTCTCTTCAGGGCTATATTCTCTACAATGCTACATGAGATGTGTGTACGTACCATAATTCTGTATTTCGGAAATATGTCTATCTGTTATAACGAGTGTGTGGTCTGACAAGTAATAGCACGCCTTTGAATTCGTACGAGTCAGACCCGATGAACATGAACGTGACGGGCACGGTCCACAATTTGGAAGCAGAATCCATGCTGTAGACAGAAGAGCGAACGAACTACTTGGCCTCGAAGCAGTTGAAGCGTGGGAATTCTATCGCCGCTGCCATACTGGGGGTCGTGCTGTGGATAGGGAAGGTCGTCGTGGATTCCGCGTATAGAGCGGTGCTAGGAGAGGTAGATCTCCTGATCTAAATGTGGGAGGGATGACGAGCATGCGTTGTATTTCAACTTTGGACAATTCATTCATGCGAAAGAATGGTTAGCCAGCTAGCAGGATAGTGAACGTCAATCTCTAATATTAAGAACAGATGCCTACACTTTGTTTTTCAGACCAACACTCCGCATGACTACAAATGGTCTTACGCCTCAACCATCCCGATATCTGTCATCTGCTTTTTCTCTGCATCTAGACCCTCGCATCTTAGTTAGCAACCTGCACACGATTAAGCGGAAAGACGAAATTCCACTTTAGTGAGAGCCGTGGCGTCATCGATTCTCCTACCGTTCGTGCAAGGTCGAGAAGTTGGCGGTTGTCACTTTGAGGAACCGCCAAAAGACCCCAATGGATACATCGAACGGAAAATGCCCGGGGATTGCGGGACGATGATGCATAGAAAAAGGTCTTTTGTAAAACCATTAATTACTCTCGTACGCCTATCAGGTTAGGCATTACCATCGGCCGTTATGATAACGCAACAACCGGCGATCGAATCACTATGTGTAATAGGTAGTACCACTGCATCTCTCGACATCCCTGGCGTCAACGCGCTGCGCTATCGATGCCACGGCCAGCACAACGGTAGCCCCAACCTTCTCGGCTGTCACCTTGTGTCGGTATCGATAGCCCGAGCCCACGACGATATGGGAAAGCGGTGAATGATGCGATATGTTTCCAGGCTCGCGCCACAACATTTAGCAATTTCTTTCAAATGGCTTAGCTGTCAGAGGAAACCCTATCTCCCGAGTTCCCTGTATGCCTACTATCTAACCCTTACCTTGGAAAGCAGGCATCACAGCATCCAACAATCCCTCGGCACACCCGCCACCACTGCTCACATAAGCCTGGAAGAGATCTAGGATATGGCCGGCAACATTGCCGCCGAATGTCTTGAGACTGGGCCGCCGTCCAACAATGGTATTGCATGGGACATGGCTATTTACCAGAAATGGTTCATGTTTGAGAAAGAACGAGGCCTTGACGATATGAATACTCGCCATTCGCACCCCTGCGCAAAAGATCGATTCCCCTGCTCTGTGTCTCATATTATACAGCACACCCATTTCAGGGTTCGCAAGATATAGCGCAAACATCTGGATACGATGCAACAGCGAAAAAAGCTTGACCAAGTTAATGACACAGTTCTGTAGCGCAGCATCAATCTGTTTGACCTTGAACCGTTGAATGCTCAAGATCACAATGGGTCTGGATTGCAGAAATGGCCCAACGGGTACCATTGAATTGCTGGTAACGACAAGCTTTCGCGTCTATGCTGACTAGCTACTTATCCCTGTGTTGAGAAGCTTATAAACGAAACTGTTCTTTAAAGGAGAATCTTGATGAAAGGTGAAAAATGATCTCAGCAACACCAGCGTCCTTGAAATTACCAAAACATAGTCGAAATCATAATTCAATCGGGTATCCATCTCACCAATGCCTTTTAGGGATCTCAGATCTCCAGTAGCCATGCCGTCGGTGGTTACGTCGGTAGACCATATATTTCACCTTGGTTCAGGTTGTCTGCCAGCCTATCGGAAATATAGTCTCGGAAATGTTGAAAGCCGTACGTTGTGTTTTTGGATGGCAGAATACCGGATTGGTCTATTGCGTGTGGTCAATTCAATTCTGAGGAGTCCCCACTCTCGAGAGAGATCAACGTTGCAAAGAATGCACTTACCACCTAAACAATTGATCGGATGGATATAGCAATAGTCTAACTCATCCCACGTAAGCGGAGTCTTGTCGCCATCGTTACCATTTTCCGGCAAGGCGTTGAAACACTCTGGCATGGAATCGAGCTCATTGAGCACGCAGACCGGTAGGTTGTAAACGCCTTCCGAGTTTGATCTAATGTTAGCAACAGCGAAGAGTTGATCTCTGAAGTTTTCGACGGAGTCAAGAGCGTCAGGGGAGAAGCCATAATTTTGATTGACCAGGGTGTAGCTGGCAGGTAGGGTGTAAGTAAGCTTGTCAAATGTGGGTCTGCCTGGGCACGATCTTACTTGTACCCATAGTCCAACCAGCCAGCAACGCTAGACTGGATGACATCTTCAGGGTTGTATGTGAAGTTGCCGTCGGTGAATGTCTGCGTGAAGGCGGTTTTGAAGTTGTAAGTCGTGAAATCTAAGATAGCGTCCTGCACCCTATAGTCGTCGCTAAGCGTCAGAATCCGAGTCAGGGGAAGATACAATGAGTTAGGCACTGACCCCTCCATGACTGTCATTCCAGGACCGATGCCGTCTACGGTATTGCAAGTAGCATAGACACTGTTGTTGAACTTCGAATTCCCAACCCATTGTTCGCAATCCGACTTCTCGAAGGAGAAATTGCCTCTGGATCCATAGCCAGGGACGTCATTGACCATGGAGCCTAGCCTTATCAGTCATCGGGTGTCTCCGTTTCAAGGCCATGTTCTAGCTCACCGTACGGAATCTACAGGGGTCAGTTCCTGAGTATTCATTTCGGTGTAGTATATTGCACTTACGTAGACAATGTAGTAATCGTTCTGGTCAAATAGCTGATTGATCAAACGAGCACAAGCATACGACTCTAACCACGCGGTTACGTTATCGCTAGGTATAACCGATGTTTGGTCCACGGTAGGCGTTTCCGGCAGGTAGAAGCCTCCTTGCAAGACTGTCGAGATATTGACAGGCGCTGTATCGTTCGCATTGAGAAAGTAGGAGTCATGAAGATTGCTTAGCCCGCTCTTCATTGCACTCATATAATTTCGCCAGTCGATCTGGGTGTTGGTGGCTCTAGATTTCGCGAGTAGTGCTTAGCTTTACGATAAACTTATCCAGATGGAGGACTCTGCCTACCCTTCCCACTCTAACACAGCTGTGTTTGGGATGCCAAGGTTCTTAACATTGGCAATCCCATTTAGTGAGGCGCCAATGGCATAGATAGCCTACCGTTCGTTTAGTTAAGCTGCGCACCCAGAAGGCCACATAATCCGCATACATTTGCAGCTGTGGCTATAGCGACACCTCCCCAGAACGGTTGTATGAAGAGCAAAACAACACACATTAGAGTAAAGACCGTCCCCTGGCAGTATGAGAACCAGTTGAAGAGTACGGGAGCTCATGGTAGAACACTTACAATCACAGGCAGTAGGGTCTGCCAGCTCGCCAAAGCAGGGTCTGTATAAAATTTCTGGAAAATGGTCAAAATCTCCACGGTTGCTTCGACCGGAAGCGGCACGCATGAGAGAACTCACAAGGTAGATGTCCGTAATGACGTCGTCAAACCCGTTCTGGGCTTGATCCAAAACACCCCAGCCGTAATTCAAGAAGTGACTTAACCCTGTGGATACGACGTAAGCCTGAAGGCGCTCTGCTCCACAGACCTAGAGATAGCTACCTTCCCAGTCGGCCAGTACCATATATCCTTGCCTGAAACCATCTTTTGAGGAGAGTGTTGTATTGACGCCGACACATGTTGGATAGGTGCATGAGCCCACGTCCAAAGAACCGTCTCCATTCAGTTGCGTATCTCCAATCGTGCAGTGATATTCATCAATAGGGCCAACGTAGTCGTAGACTAGTTCTTCGAACAGCGTCATTTCGCTGCCCTCCAAAGTGTAATTTGAGACGTAAGATTCCCACCATTCGTCTGTCTAACAACATACAGATGAGCTTGGAAACAAGGCAGCGGTGAGGAACGACGAATGTGCGAAAGAACAAAATCAGACTTACTCTGAATGCGCCCCACTGGGAGCCGTCCAATTCGTTATTATTCGACTGACAAGGTAGTGGCAATGGTACGTCACAAGTTAATATTGTCGAAAGAGTAAGCGCAAATTCGTGGGCGTAGGCTTCCGCCGCGTTTGCGGGCGTACCACTGGCGAGCCCTGTGACAGACTGACCACCTGAACACATTAGTTATAGGAGTAACGGGTGAGCCGTGGGAATATATACCTCCGTCCGACGGGACGCTCAAGGTATAGCTTCCATTTGCATTGCGCGTGAACGGCGACTGCGAAAATTCACCGTATCCAAGAGACGATAGATTCATGCCTACGTCTGCAGAAAATAGCCAGGTGTTGCTACCCTCCCAGTCGGCCTTGATAAAGGGTCAGCGGTCTCCTTTTTACTTGAGATTATAGTACAACTTACCTCTACTACAAACTCGCCTGTAGGCATAAGGTTCGTTGTGGACACTGGAAATACAGTAGCAGTGCATGTAGAAGGTTCCAGGTCCGCCGTGGCGAAAGTCCAAGGAAAAGCATCTGGTGGCGAAAGGATGAATGGGTTACTTGTAGTGTAGGCACAGAGAGATCCAGTATTTGAAAGTGTCGAGTAATATTGGCCGTTGTCGCAGCTGCATACGGTAGGGTCTGGTTTGGCATGTGCTGAGGGAACAAGCGAAGCAGTGTTTGCACTGGAAAGTCAGCATAAAGAACGATCTATTCAACCCGGGAGCATGGATACTTACTCTGCTGTGCAGATCAAAGTGGAGACCGAGAGTGTCATTGTTGAGACAGAGCTGGTAAAAGACTGTGAAGTCTGCTCAGGGCTTGCAGCACAATCTGAAGGGCTCCAATTAATTTGGCCATCTGGTCTTGGTGGACCCCAATAGTATTGGCCTTGCGGATCTTCGCAAAGGACATTTTGAGGTACTGCTGCACTAAAACTCACAAAGATGGTGAAGAGAATAGCGGCGATCGAAGCTACCATGCTTGCTTCGGTGAATTGGCGGTCAGGCAAACGACGAGGAGAGAGAGAAGGATGCTACTAGAAACAGAGAGAACTGGGCGTTGGGCGCATATAATAATCAACTCGAAATCTGCAATACTTCTCGGGAAAGACACTGCAGGATCTGAGGGTCCTATTGTTGTTTCTTTTCCAGGGACGCAAGACCTCTAATCACATTTGACTGCATTCGAGGCCATGAACACCAAACAAGCTAACTTGTTGAGTGGAGCAAATATAGAGCACAAGCAGAATACGAGCCGGACCTGCGATAGCAATTAAGCATAATCGTACCGAAGCAATGCCCTGCTGGCAAGCCGATTACCCTCAAATCCGACAACCCGCGCAATGTCAGGGTGAGCTTGAACACTGAGAACGTGCCAGAGAAGTTGGTACACCAACACACAACAAAATTACCCCACGCTTGCAAGCCATGGAGCATGAATGACGCCAGAACCGGCGTCTATGGGTTGGGTTGGATTGAGTCGCGTTCGGCCCGTGAAAGGAAGATCATAATCAATGATACTTTTATTCCTATCAAGAGCTTGGATAGCTGCCACTTTTTATGATTGACGAGGCAATGTTCGAGGAGGACTGTCGAGGGATACTTCAACCCGTCCAGTGGTGACTATGGTCTCGACCGATTTCATTTCAGGATCCGTTCTGGGAGCGGCAGTTGGCAGTCTTCACGGCTTGTGGTGAAGGACTGGGCGGACCGGCAAAAAGTCATCCGTAACTGAAATCATGTCCAGTGCCAACGGCGGTCAAAGAGTCGATGTATGGAAGGTCGGTGAAAGACTCGTTTTCGCCATAGCACTAGATGAGCCTTGGTCCTGGGCCTGGTTAGTACAAAACTCAAGCATGGCGGCGATAACCAACAGTTTAAGCCTTGTGACATCGTGGCACGAGATTGCGTCATTCTGTCGCATTTGAAAAGAGCGGTAACGAGAGGGATGAGGCAGACCCAGTGGCAGAATTCGAAGATACAACGAAGCCTCCTCGGAATGGATGAAATGTTGGTCTTCGCCGCACACGGGAAACGGCGCTACCTGGGTACGATTAGCATAATCTTACCTCGGCCAGATCCTTCAGATTTGATCGAAACAATTGTCCAATTCAACGTCACCGGCACCCTTCAAGTCGTTATCTTTGTCCCTCTTATCAATAAGGACCTAGTTGTCTCACAGCTCCACCATAAGCAGTCATTCAACTGGCATGTCGCTTTTGGTTTGCAGACCAGTGCACGGCGCAGCAAGGATGCCAACAATGAGGGAGAAACCCGAGGGTGAGCGAGGTGAGGAGACTGAAAGCACGGTCATGGTCAACCAGCGCGTATGCCGTCATGCCCTCCGGCACATCGCAGGAAAGCTACAAGGGCCAGGACTTCTGACGGTGCCATATCCATCCTATAGACTTGATTACAAAGTCTCAGTAGAGGTGATGTTCTTATGACACCGATAAAGATGGTGTTTTGATCGCGTTTGGATTGCAGATTCCATTTACTGCACCCCTCGACCGCTTCGTGCGCTTTTCTCGCGGCGAAGTATTTCTACGGCAACCTATTTGGACCAGGGGGCCTGGTGATTTTGTGAGAATATCAGGTGTGTGTTGTGTAGAACAGTTGGATTCATTTCTCCAGACTTCTCCGAGGCCAGGTCTTACATACAGTACAAAATTAGATGGCTGAGAAACACGGTGGCCCCTTCCCAGGAAGCGTGGGGACCAAATTTCGACATATTTGTTTAATCCAGAGCCTCACCACAGTTTATCTATTACTCTATCATATCCTTCGAGACTATGTCTAGCCAAAAGGCTACGTAAAGCTTAACGCTATCTCAATATAAGATTACAAGTTTAGGCCCATAAATTAAATTCATAAAAAGTAATTAATTTTTAAATCTAATTTCGAGACTGAATTCGACTCTCGAAGAGTAAAAATATTTTAATTTAAGATTTACTTAGAACTATAAGATCGAATTTTATAAATTTTAAATTATTAAAAAGTATAAAATAAGTTCTATAATTAATTAAAATTATAATAGAAAAAAGAGAAGTTATATTAATAATAAGTTTATAAGAATTTAATTAACTTTAAATTAATTTAGATTTAATTAATAAGAAGTTAATTATAATATCTATTATAGTTTTTTTATATTAATTATTATTATTTTTATTTTCATAGTTTATAGAATTTTTAGAATTTTTATTATTGTTACGATTTTACGATTATTAGAATTTTAAGATTTTTTATCGAGACTCGAGAGAGAATAATAGATTCGAATCGAGAATAATATAGAATAGTTTCGAATTTTATTAAAATTATTATTAATCGACTATTTAAGTTTATATTAAAAAGTATTCTAAATAGCGTAAATAAGTTTTTAATAAACGATATTTAAATATCTTATCTTTAAATACTTATAAGACTAAATTTAATAATTCTTTTTTTCTTTTAAAAGTATAAGATAATAAGATATTAGAAACTTAATAATATATGTAATAACTCTATATTATAGTATAAAGAGAATACTATCTATATAGAATTATTATAAGTATAGACTTTATAGTAAGATAGAAAGATTAAAAGGCCTTAGTACGCTAAGTCTAATTAAGCTATAATATAAATAAGTAAGATTATAAGATTATTAGAATCGTAATATTACCTCTCTCTTTAATTTAAAGCTTCGGCGACGACTACTATATAGTAAACGTTAATCTTATAAAAAATATATCTAGGCGTATACGAAGTAATATTCTTAAATATATTAACTTAGTATTTTATTACGATATTAGAGTCTTTTTATAAGTCGATATAGCTACTATAGATTAGTAGCGCTAATAGAGAAAATTATTCTAAAGGTCTTTTAAATAATAAATAAGAGTTAATAGCCTCGGGGTAATAATAATGAAAATCTATTATTAAATTCAAATATTTTATTATATCCGTAAATAATTACTAGAATAAGTTTTCTTCGATCTCGAAGTCTTTATATCTAATTTTATATATAAGATATTCTCTCTTATTAGTTAAGAAATTATTCTTTTATTTATCTAGCTTAAATTAAACTATTTCTTTAATATTATAGATTTCTTCTTCTTCGTTAATATCGATAGATAGTGGTAAAGACTTAATCTATTCTAATAGTAAGTTATTATTATCGAGATATAATAGCTATAAATAGAAGATAAAATAAATATTATTTATAGAAGTCGGGAGTTCTAACTCGTAAGCGAAATTATTTAAAGCTTTAATAATTTTAAACGATTCGAAATTCTTATAATCTAGTAATTTACTAAGATATATGATTTTAATATTTCTTCTATTAAGTATAACTATATCTTCGACTCTAAATTTTAATATTAAGAGTCGATAATAATTAGTTTACTTCTTTTATAAAGCTCGTAATTATTTAAGTTAACTTCTTAGATAATTCTTTATAATATCGATCTTCTCGATAAACTTATTAGCTAGTTTAATATCTCTCTTCGCTCTTTAATTAGTAAATTAATCTTAAAAAATTAGAGGTTTTATTTTTAAGTAAGAAATATATTCTTTAGTAAGAAGAAATAGTAATATATTCGATAAGATATTCTTATCGAAGTTAGCTTTAAACTCTACTATTAATAATAGATTTATCTAATTATCTTAATTATAATTAATATAAGCTTTAAAATATTATTTTAGAATAACGTTAACGTTCTTTATTTATTTATTAATTTTTAAATAAAACGTAATAAAGAGTTTAAATTTAATCTTAATTCTTTCATATAGTCTTCTTTAGAAATATATTATAAATTGAATATCTCGGTCGAAGATAATAGTAAATAAGTATTCTTTCTCTCGCCATATAAATTCGATGAAGGCTTAAACTATTACCTTCACTTTCAGAGAGTTTAAGAGAATAAATTTTTTCTTCTTATTAAGTCTATTTATAACTACTATAATATATTAATAAAGATATCTATATCTAAGATAAATAGATAGTAATATAATAAAGTTAATAGAAATATCTTATTAGTATTATTCGAGAATAGAAAGGGATTTAAATAGATCTTACTTATTCTCTCTATAAGTCTTAGATCTTTTATAAATATAATAGCTCTTAATATAGCGGGTAATGAAATTCATTATTCTTAACTAGTAGTAAAGTCTACTTACTCTATTATAAATTAATAATCTATTAGCGTAATCTTTAAATAAAGAGTTATAAATATCTCTAATAATTTTAATTCGTAATTCGAGAACGTTCGATATATATAGTCTATTATTAATATATAATAATCTATTATAAAGATAATAATTATCTAATTTTAGCTTAAAGTTATTCTTAATTATTTTAAGTAATAGCTTTCTCTATCTAGATATCTTTAATTAAATAATTTCTTAAGTAATATCGTCGTAATTATAAGTATTTCTTATTTAATATAATAACTTAGAAGTATTAATAGCAGAGACTTCTCTCGATTCTTCTAAGAACTCCTCTTAAGAAGTCTCTATCGAGGCCCTTAATAATAATTCTTTATTAGACTCCTTACTATTAATATTATCTTATTTACTAAGTTTATATAGCATTATAACTAGAGAGATAATACTTTCTCTTATATTATCTAATAATATAATAGCTAGATATATAATATTCTTAACACCTTCGTTAAGATTATTATCTTTAAGAATTATACGATATCGATAATAAATATAATCGTCATTCTTATTTTTAAATAGATCTTCTACTCGTTAAGTAAGACTATTAGATTTAATACTTTGTTTTCCTAAGCGATAGATAATGTGAAAGTTAAATTCGAAGAGAAACTTCGCTTATCTTATTTAGCGGGAGTTAAGTTATTTAGATAATATAAAATATTATAAGTTTTTATAATCTAAAATAACTTTAATAGAGTTCTCGATAAAAATATTAATTAGTTTAAAATATTATTCCTCGAAGGCCTATACTATAATTATAAATTTCTTATTATAAATATCGTAA